CAATCTCCTCCACTCAATCAGAATGAGGTAATTAATACATTAATCTGAAAATTCTGCACTGTCACCTAATCACTCCATTTACTTCCAGCCCCATTATTGATTTTCATTGATTGGACGTTTAGTAAGACTGCTAAGGTGTTTCAAGAGAAGAAGCGTATTTTCTTCTGATTCCACAATCAGTTGCGTAAAGTATGTGGTGTTTGCCTTACGCAGTTCCCTAACTACCATATTTCTCAGACCGCTGAGATCATTACATTATTTTTGGTGGACAGTGACTTTTCCGGTCCAAGATCACTTATTTTTTCATGAACTGGTGGATAACAGGATTCATCCAGGGAAAAGAGATGTTTCCTCGCTTGCATTTAAAGATTTGTGTATATTTCTATTGTGAGTGTTTTTTTATTTATGTTTTTACAGTTATCTAGATCATTGGTTTGTAAAACGTAATTCCAGTCAGTAATATTTAGTTGGTTTTCAAATCGTGTAATTTTACTTTTGGGAATGACTGCATTCAATAATTTTTATTTCATTTTTGTTAGTTTTCTGACATTTAGGATCATGTTATGGTCAGAAAGGCCTAAATTATACATCCTTATGACTGCGGGTATGTTTGTAACTATCAGGTTCGAGTGATTCTTGTTGGATCCTTCCATCTGTTATAAGTGTTCTCCACTTTTTTTTAAAACTCTTCCAGGTAAACCCATTTACACTGAGCAACCTATTCAATTACATGGTAGATGCATAATCTTTCTCTTTTATTCATTAAGCATAAAGCATATGACAACAGCGAAGTCATACTTGCAAGTTATTATATTAGCAAAGAGGAAAAGGAAACACTTGGTTATCACAAGAATTTCCCTCACGTTATATTTAGGGGTGATAGTCTGAACCATGAGGGGGTCACAGCAGCCTACTGGTAATGTTGGTAATGTGTGAGGTCGTAGCTGTGTGCTCACAGCTGTAGTTACTGGCCATCATGGCACCACCGTGATGACGACAGTCCACATGGACCATTGAGCATCAGTCCCTCAACCACTCGCCCACCCCAGGAACACTTTATGCCACCGCCATCAAATTACACATGTAGACAGAGGCAGTGGAGGAGCACTCTGTGTGATTAGTCATTCCACTTGGCAGCTGTATTTTGACACATGCAAAAACAATCACAGTCATCGCCAGTCACAGATGATCAGATGCTGTGATAAAAAGAGGGAGAGGGGATAAAGATACCAAGTTCTACTGTGTTCGAGTAGTTTAAGATTATTTAAATCTGTTTGTAATTACACAACATTTCTTATTTTCTCATACGAAATGATCATACTTTTGTTTGGTTCATAAATTTGAGTTCACATTTGATTGCTCATAAATACTGCATCTTTTTGCGTTTATAAACACAAACCAGTTACAGATGGGTGTTAAATTGAACGAAAAAAACAACAAAAATGGTCTTAGTAAAATGTTGGGACACAACATGCCTTCAACAGCTGCTGAACAGCTTCAATGCTCCTTGATCTCCAAGGTCCCTAAACTCTAGCTCCCATTGATGTTCAAATGGGTCGGGATCTGGCTTTAAAGCACCAGTGTGGAGGATTTAGTGGCATCTAGCTGTGAAGTACCGCCTGCGAAGTATGTAGGAGAAAGTGAAAAGGCTCTATCGTTGTTTTTTGGTTTGTCCATTCTGGGCTACTGTAGAAACATGGCGGTTCAACATGGCTGACAAAAACAGCTCTTTCTAAGGAAACCAAAACACAAAACAATAAATGCATCCTAGTGCATGTGCAGATGGCACTAATCAACAGATAAGGTAATTGACCAAAAAATGCAGCAATGCATCAGCAGAGGCATTTAAACAAGATATCATAATGTTAAACAAAATAGGCTTTGCATAGTATGTTTTATGACAATGGACATGGATTCGTGTTTTTTAGATCTCAACAGACAGGCCGAACAGCAATAATGCATTTTAATGCATATGTAACAAACACAGACAAACACACATACAGTGTTCATATGGGTCAACCAGTCATCCACCAAGCACTACAAACTGATATGCTCATTTTGAAGTTGTTTACCCAACACATACTGCGATTAATAGGACATTTATTTTGTGTTTCCTCTCCTCTTCATCAACTGGATGAGTCTAATGACCCCCACAAAGGTGACCAACAATGTTCAGCAGCCAGAGAGAGAAAAGAAATGTGGAGGATGGTGAATAATAGCCCAGCTGGTTGCGTTAGCTGCAATTAGCCCGAAGTCCCACAATTATGCAGAGAAAAGCTGACACTCACAATGCCACAATGCTGCCGCTGAATCAATACATAATTGTAATAATTATCATCCTGATGTCATTTGTGGACGTGTCCCACACTTCCAGAAAAGAAGATGGAATTGGATAAACACAGAGGGATGAATGGCAGAGAGATATCGCCTCTTCAAGTGCAACATTTCCAACAAAAGGTAGCCTCGATACCTGGTATGAGCAATGATGGGGGTCGACTCAGTGGTGACGATGAGTCAGCCTGACCACAAGCAGCCAGAAAGAACTTTGCAACCCCTCTGCAGCTGAGCTACAGTACACCACAGCAGGAGTCGTGTAGGAGAGGGTGCATGTCACGATCTTCTAAAGCCTTAAAATCACATCATTTATGAACGTCATTCACAGCCACAATTTCTCTCAGAGTGCCGTGTTTGATACGTATTGACAACCCCCAAACAATTCACAATCATATAAAGTATAAATTTCATATTAGGGTAACAACATTTGCTTTTCCTTTCAAGCATTATTCTGAAAGTTTTATCAACTCGCATTTATCCGAGACAGACAGGAGACCACATCCGGCAATGGAAAGTAATTTTACTCAAATACTGTACTCTGTACTTTGAGATAACTGTAGCCTACATAATATTTCCATTTTCTGCTACTTTTTACCTCTATTCCACAACATTTCAGAGATGAATGTTTTACTTTTCACTCCATTACATTTATTTGACAGATGGACATTAACTTACTAGTTATTTTTCAGCTGAAGATTTTACATTAAATAAATATTTGATAAGCTTCTGAAATTCAATACATTGTTATGTATGTCCATGAGTTCTTTATTACTACTATTTTCATTTGATGAATTGTTTGAGGTTTAATATAGATTTAAAAAAAGGGTACTTTTACTTTTAATACTTCTGTTACATTTTGCTGATGATACTTATGCACATTTGATTGTAATACTTTTACTTGTAGTGGGGTATTTCTTTTCTATTGTATTGGTACTTTTACTCAAAGTTGGAGTGTAAGAGACCTGAATCCTTCTCCCACCACAGTCTTTATCATTCGGGTTGGAAATACAACACACTGTATGACTGTATTTCTTTGCAAAGATAGCAATAAAAGTGATGGGCAGGGAAGATCGGTAAAGGGTTCTCTCTGGGTGATTTCAAATGACCAGTAATAGCCTATGGTCTTGATAAAGTGGGCTGACACAGGAAAGCAGACATTTGGAGGGAGGAGAAGGAGTGATATCAGTTTATCTTGACCCTGATTCAGCCTGTAACTCCGCTGCTCTTCCTCAGACGGGCAAAATCTGGTTGAACTTCAATAAACCTGTGCTGCTGTACAATCATTAAGTCTCTTGTGGTTTGGAATACAGTTGTTTTTTTTGTGTCTATCAGTAAAGATGCTTAATTTTGTAAGATTTCTTAATACATTGCTTGAAAGACATGGCTGGAACAAACCATGATAATTGCTCTTATCTCTGAATAAATGTCAAGCTTCTACCTGTTGCTCACTGTTTTATGTCATTCACTTTCTAAAAAAGGTCAAGATAAAGAAAAAAAAAACACACAGCTTAATTTCTAAAGATTTCCAATTTACTTTGATTCCATGCAGAAAATAGGCTTAAACAGGGTGGAAAGGTGGTTATTGTCTGTTTGCTTTATCTTTCTTTCTTCATACTCACTCTGTCATCCCCCAGTAAAGGACGGAACCGCCAATGTCTGTGCCCAGGGCTACATCAGTGCTCTTTAGCATTTTCAGCCTGTGTGTTCAGGTTGGGGGAAGAGTCACATTGGGGCCCATTTGCCTTCCCTGCACCCATGCAAGGTTGCTGCTGTGGCAGCATGTGGCCAGAGGTCCACAGATAATCGTTTTACCTTAACTCGCCTGTGGGCACCGTACATCACTTCACAATCATGTTAACCACCAAAATCCTCAGCCAAAAGCGGTACAAATTGACTTGATGTGGTTGTTGCAAGTAAGAAACAGACAGAATAGCCCAAACAGGAAAATAACCTGTTGTTTTCTGTTGTTCTCTCTTTCCCCTTGTGTGTGTGTGTGTGTGTGTGCGTGTGTGTATGTGTGTGTGTGCGTGTCTACCACAATAAAATCTAATTTGTGAAGAGCTGTGGAGATTCGATTGAGCTGATAAAGTGACTTAATTTTCCACAGTTGACTTTTCTCTGGTCCAACCTTTATGTAAAGCCCTGAGGTCAAAGCTTTGATTATTGTCAAAGCTTTGATTATAAAGTGTATCCAGCTGGTAGTTGTAGCCACACAACTTCACCTCAAATATGTTGTTAATTGTTAATCATATAAACATGAAAAAACCTAAAATATATATAAACTATATATATAACTATATATACATATATACGGTTTTAGATACTAAACAATACCAAAAACTTGTGCAGGTTCCCTTAAAATTCTATTATAAATAAAAATACAAATCATTACTAATAACTTATTAACTAATAACCACTGAAAATATGCCAAACATTAGGAAAATGCTCACTTTTTCAGCTCTGTGTATGTGTGTGTGTGTGGGGGGGAGACTTTACAAAAGGTCAGATATACTGTATATACACGGCACCAAGTTTGGATGTGTCTGCGCATTGATTGACTATAGCGGGATTAGCTTGTTTGACGTCAGAAACTGCAAACAAATGACCCCATAAAAAGAGGGACCCTGTCTGGGGAAAAAAAGAAAAGCTCTGGGCGCACAGCAAAGCCGGAGAGGTCTAGAGAGCGCCACAACTGCCCTGCCACTTTAGTCACACTTTGGCACGCAAACCAAGACAATACAGAAGACTCCAACGCCTAAATATGCCCCTTTCAAGCAGCTCCACGTCCTCCACAAAGAGCATCCGCAGAGCAGCATCCGAGCTGGAGAGGTCTGACTCCATCACGGTAAGTTTACATCAGCCAATTTTATTTTTTTTCATTCAGTTGTAATCGACGATGAGAAATTGTGCTCATAGTCTGATGTCTACATTATATTCATATGACTGCTAATAACGGCTGTATTGCATGGAGAGAGCCATTACGCATACGCACCATTACGCAGAGGCGATGGCTGACGCGCACTAGATTATATTTATATAGGAAAAAAAAGAAAAGAAGAATTTAGCAAAACACCCCTTATATCTGCAAAATATTTGCGCTGTGGTAGCTACTTAGTCTTAGGTTTACCTTGACTGCACTGTTGTCCTAATTTGGAGATGTAGAGCGCTCCCATCAAATACCAAAGTAGACAAGATAAGAAAATCCCTGCTGTTACCCCACCCTGTTATTGTGTATATTTGCTCTGACAGTGGCTTAGATTTAAAAAAAAAAGCTGCAGTACGCCAAACTTTGGTTTCTCTTTTGAAACAGTCTCCAAGATTCATCGGCAGGCGTCAAAGCTTGATCGAGGACGCGCGCAAGGAGAGGGAAGCCGCCGCCGCAGCGGCAGAGGCTGCAGAGGCCAGTGAACAGATAGTGTTTGAGGAGGACGACGGGAAAGCGCTCCTGAACATCTTCTTCACTTTAAGAAGCTCCAAGACACCTGCACTGTCGCGGACACTCAAAGTTTTCGAGGTATCACAAGAGTTTTTGTTCGGTCGTAATAATTTATGTCTGTGCGTTTGAGAGCAGAATTGGGCAAGAAATGTGTTATTTATCTACTGCATCTACTGATGCATTATAGATCAGTTGTAATTGTCGTGTTGCTAAGATGTAAAATATCCATTTTTGTTTTGGAAACAATGCAGTTTTAAATGTATATGAATATATTAATATGCTTTTGGGTTTCTCACTCTCTGATAAGCAGGGGGCATGGAGACTTTAGGGTTGGCAGAAATGCAGACTTAATCGCAAACAATCACATATATCAATATTTGCTTGGAACAGTCCCCAAATGAAGATATTTTATCTCAGAAACATTATATTATTGCAGCACATTAATAAATAAACTAGAGACTAGAAATATCTATAAGGAGAAATCTTCAGACATTTTTCCAAATATAAGTCTTTTTCCAAAATGTGGCCATAACAGATCATTAAATTATTATCATTTCATTTCCGTTTAAATTAATCTAAATTTATGTTTTAAATTTGACAGCCTTTGACACCAAACTAGGGTGGCAGCTGGGGTGGGCAGGCATTTTTATGCCACCCCTCTAGATCCGCCCCTGCTAATCCGCCATTATGTCTGCAGTTGTAAATGTTAATAAGTTAAATGAATTTCGGTCCAGATCATACTTTTTCCATGAGAAGGGATTTTTTCACAACCTGGCAACCCTAAAGATTTAGTAAATGATTTATCAACCAATTAGAAGCTTTGTAGTTTACCAACAGCAGATCATCTATGAGAGATTATGACTTCTAGAGCTCAATTAAATTTAAGATGGATGGCAATTAGGTCTGTTTTGACTGGATACAGCAAAATGTAATGAAACCTCTTTTAGGGGGCAGTGACTATATGAGGACGCATAGCCAAATTGAAAAATTTAATCTTCCGCTCTGCTCAATAAGATATTTCAGTACAACTGTTGTGTATATTAAAACGGTCTTTTTGTATTAGTGAAGTGTTCAGCTTGCTATTATACAAATTGTGCCAAATATAGGCCAGAATACACGCCTCTGTATCAAATACTGACGTGCACAATTGCAGCCCACCTTTGTAATACTTGAAATGTAAATCAGTACCACCGCAGGAGCTGTATTTCACTGTGTTAACTGTATTTCAGACATTTGAAGCTAAGATTCATCATTTGGAGACGCGACCATGTCGAAAGCTCAAGGAGAACCTGGAAGGCCTGGAGTACTTTGTTCGCTGTGAGGTGCACCTCTCAGATGTCAGTACTCTTATCAGCTCCATCAAGAGGATTGCAGAGGATGTTAAAACCACCAAAGAAGTCAAATGTAACATCCTTTTCCTGCTTGTCTCAAATAAAGAAAAATGTATTTAATATTTTAATCACAAAATCAGCACTGAACTGAATTTGACTATTTCTTTCCTTTCTTTCCATGCTAGTCCATTGGTTCCCAAAAAGAATAGCAGATTTGGACAGATGTCATCATCTGGTCACAAAATTTGATCCAGACTTGGATCAAGACCATCCTGTAAGTAATAACGTTGCCAGCATGTATGCTGAGAAACAATTCTGTTTACTGGGTTGGTTATGTTGTTGGACCAATATGTCATGACACAGAAAATGTGATCAGTGTTTAATATATTTGATTTGAACAGGGCTTCACAGACCCTGCTTACAGACAGAGGAGGAAAATGATTGGAGACATCGCCTTCAGATACAGACAGTGAGCTACAATCTTTTGCCTGATTACAGCGCAGACGTCCATAAAAAAACCTAATACTTGATTATTCCTGATACATCTTTATATGTTTGTCCTCAGCGGGGATTCGATTCCCAGAGTGGAATACACAGAGGAGGAGATTGGCACATGGTAAGGGGTGTAATATGCAGTTAATGTGTTATGTGTAGATCACCAAGCATAAAATCAAAATTTACACTGAATACAAATTATCACTTGTTTTTCAAACATGCAGACCTTCCTGCTGTTTCCATATCAGAACATCGTTGTGTCCATTCACCACCCACTGCCTCAATTTCATCTCCTGTCTCAGACAGTTGAATATGATTTGTCTTTTATTTTGGTGAATTAGATACAGACGAAGGGCGCTATTATAGGTAGGGCAGCTTGAACTTTTCTGTGCAGAAAATATACCAGAGAGATTTGACAGGAAAACATAAGCTGAATTTAAACAAAACTGATTAAACAGGAGAATAAAAAATTTAAAAAAAATTGCTTGAGAAGGACATGAGAGATTTTGTTCAGGAAAAAAATTTAATCTGAATTATTATGCAATTTCATCCATGATTAGGAGGGAAGTCTACTCAACTCTGAGGGACTTGTACGTCACCCATGCCTGCAGTGAATACCTCGAGGCCTTCCGTCTCCTGGAAAGGCATTGTGGGTACAGTCCAGACAACATTCCCCAGTTAGAGGACGTGTCACGCTTCCTCAAAGGTAAAGATGGAATAAGAAACACCCAAAGTGAAGCAAATGTTTAGTGAATACACTGTCCATCAACTCTCTGTCTCCTTTTATCCCACCTCCTGAACACACACACACACAGAGCGTACAGGGTTCATACTGCGTCCAGTGGCAGGTCTGCTCTCAGCCAGAGATTTCCTTGCCAGTTTGGCATATCGGGTGTTCCAGTGCACCCAATACATCCGACACGCCTCTTCCCCTATGCACTCCCCAGAGCCGTGAGTATGACTGTGACTCCTCTTTGCTCCTAACATCAAGACCTACAACACATTTTAGCCATTGCCATCGAGATCTGCGTGTCAGTGTCTCAGCAATAATGTTGAGTGCACCTCCTTAAGCCTCCCATCCTTCACCCTCAGATGTTGTTCCTTAAAATAGCCTTTTCTCTTTTCTTAATTCAGCTCAGTGAAACTATATTGGAATGTTGTTTTTAACAAAAACATGTTGCCAAAGATTACACACCAACAAAGTGACAGCATAAAATAAATACCTACCCTGTACATATGAAAAAAGGGAAAAATATGAAGCAAATAAAATAACTAGTTAGTGTTGGCAAATGTAGTTTAAGTGAGAAATACTAACAAACTAAAAAAACAATTTATTGCTATATATAAAAGTTCACTCAAAAAACTAGCCTACAAAGAAGTATGGATTTTTGGGACAAATATAAGTTAGTTTTACGAGCACAAACAAACTTCACTTGTCTTGTGTCACACAGAATTGTTTTTCACTCTGTAACCATTGTTTTGTAATGCAACCAGATTGAATTGGCAGTTTGTGAAGTCTGTATTTAGTTAAATTTATCTGTGCATGGTTTCTCAATTTGGATCCAGCTGAATGTTTCTTTCTTTTTTTTTTCAGTGACTGTGTCCATGAACTGCTGGGCCACGTCCCCATGCTGGCCGACCGTACTTTTGCCCAGTTTTCACAGGTGAATATGGGGAGACTTAGACTTACACATTATTATTTTACATGCAGTATTATGTTGTGATGACAATGTATTGATTACTTGCTGCAGAACCTTGGTCTGGCATCACTTGGAGCTTCGGATCAAGATATTGAGAAACTGTCCACAGTGAGTAACAGCAACAGTACTTACAACATGACTGAGGTGTTGAGAATAGTTCCACTATTATGTCTACCCAACCTCCATTTCAAGCGTAATATGTTCATTCTTAATCAATTTATTTTGATATTCTGGATTTATTATTATATGCACATTTGGAATGAAAATAGCAATTGCCAAAATTATGAAAAACAGAAAAAAATGGGGTGTTTTTTTTACTGACTGTTAACTACTGTTTTTCAAAACTCTGCTAGCTACTAGATATTAAAATAAAGTGTAAAATAAATGCCTGATTGAAACCGATTGAGACACGCTACCCGACCCGATTGAACCATTTAGTTTAGTTCAAGAAGATTAAATGAACCCCACCTCCCTTCCTGGTCATTGTACAGTCCCTTGTCTAAAATATGACATAAATAATGAACTGATTGTCTACCCCAGTATCCTTCTTTCTCTCAGCCACTCTCTTTATGTTTTCAGTTATACTGGTTCACCGTCGAGTATGGCTTATGCAAACAGAACGGGGAGGTGAAGGCTTACGGTGCTGGACTGCTTTCCTCTTATGGAGAGCTTGTGGTGCGTTTCCAGCATGCTTAATGTTTTAATTTCCCTGAATAAAAATGCAATAATCACAACCAACTAAGCTTTCAGCTAATTCCCCATCTATATTTCTTTTAACTTCAATCCAGCACTCACTGTCCGACGAACCAGAGACGAGAGAGTTTGATCCAGAGGCCGCGGCAGTGCAGCCGTATCAGGATCAGACGTACCAGCCTGTCTACTTCATTTCTGAGAGTTTTTCAGATGCCAAGGAGAAATTCAGGTACTGAGCCACACGTTTTCCACAAACACATGTAAATACACAAGAGCATACAGAGAGAAGAAGAAAAAAACTAAAAGTGAGAGGGGTTATGCAAGGATAAGGTCAGAGAAAAAGCCAGCCAACCCCTCAGGCCGTAAACTTTTGTAGGTCAGCCATAGCAGCCAGAAGACAGCTGTTACTAATGTAGTCTTTCTTACCAAGGCAAAAAAGGCTGGAGTTTTATTTGGCAAACAGATCAAATGTTGCCCTGCAAAACAAGTAGCTTTAGTGAGTGTTTTGACAGTATTTGGTCTCTAGTAGAATACATCACATGACATCTCTGCCACACAAAATATCAGCATGGGAACGTTTGTAAAAGTGTAGTAAGAGGGAAATCTCGTGATGAATATCTCTGTTCCTTATGTGGTGCAGATATAAGTAGGATATTCTCTATTAAGTCTCTATTAACAGACCAAACTACAGCCAGGGGGACTTTTTCTAGTCAATCAAAGAGAAGTTTCCTCTGGCGAAGTGAAATATTTGGTTTTATGTTTCTTAGACACACACATTCATGAAGAGCTCAAAGACTGCCTAGTCTTTAAGTTCTTTAGGTCTTACTTTTTTCTTTTCTGACCTTTTTTCTTTGACAAGAACCTACGTGACCGGTATCAAACGTCCCTTCTCAGTGAGGTTTGATCCGTACACCAGCAGTGTGGAGGTGCTGGACAACCCGCTGAAGATCCAAGGAGGCCTGGAAGGTGTGAAGGATGACCTTAAGATGCTGACAGATGCCCTCAGTGTTTTGTCATGATGATGCCCCAGTCTGCGACCACCCTGCTGTTGTTTGCTTCCCCTCCGCTGCGCTCTGCGACGTGTGACAAGACCAATGTGTTCATCTTTCTGTGCTGTACCTCCAGTATGATGCTGTTTCCGATGAGTTGTTGCTTGTTTGATGCTGGCTGGTTGGCCGACAAGGTTGCAACCAATTTAAACCTCAACACGCAGTTTCCAAAGATGTTTACCGCCTCTCTGGGTATGGATCCATTTGTGAAATGATGGGGGAATCAAAAAATGTGTTGTTTGAGAAACATGTCAAAATCTGAACCAAAATCAAAGGGAACTGTTATAATGAATGTATTAAAAGAAAACTAAATGGGTATGGTGTAATTATTTTAAAATCAAAGAAACCTAATGGTATTACAAATATTAGAATGTATATTTAAATCAAATGTATTTTATTTAAAAAAAAAAAAGATCTCTACTGTGTTAAAGGCTTTATTTTCCAGATATGTGAATTCAGTATTTGAGCATTACGTCTACATTTGCTGATTTTTGGTTTTATTTTTGGTTTTATGCAGTTTTGTCTTGCAATGTTGATGCATAATAAAATGAATAATAAAACATACTTTCCATGTAATGTACTGTTGATCAAGAATGAAATAATGTCAAATAATAAAGAATAGCAAATAAATAAATAAATAAAATTTCTATCATGTTTTATCCCTTATAAAAGTTTATGTTCTGTTACTATATATATGTTTTTAATGATATTCTGGTCATCTCACGTCTGACCAGATAGTGAGGATTTTCCGTTTACATGTGTCTGCCACAAGAGGGCGCAGTCCAGCAGGGCGAACCTGCCTGATCTTAAAATCACAGCAGACTCTTATTGAGCCTATTAAAGGAATTAATCATCCTAATGCTCTCCTCCTGCCTTCAACCACAATGGGCTATTTTGCAACGTTATTAGATGTTGAAAACAAGCTAATAAACATTTGAATGACTAAATAAACTTCTGGAGAAGTAGATGAAAAACAGCTTTTAGAAATGCAGGCATTTAAATCAAATATTGTATTCATTAGCGTTGAAAAAATAATGTTGCATGACTACCAATTAAATTAATAGTAGGTTACAGACACTGGAATTAATGGTACAAGCTCACCTTCACCACACAAATCCACCTCGGAGGGTTTGTCCGGACAGAGCTCCTGGTGGTCAGGTAAGAGGTTGTGAATCAGGTCCTTGGCCCTCCAACCTGCAGAAAGCATGCGAGACAAACAAACGGAGGTTCACTCCCCGGACCACTAGGTGTCAGTCTGAGTCTGAAGACACGTCTTCATCCTCACCTTCTGCAGAAGCCACACTTATATAAGGGCACCCTCATATAGTTTTATAGAGAAAAACTCATTATATGAGGTAGCATTTACATTGACCAAAAGCTTGGGCACTATATTTCTGCAGCAGTCAGTCTCTGATGCTGCATCCTCCTCTTCCTCCTCCTCCTCCTCTGTTTCAAACCCCGTTTCTGCTCCCTTCAGGTAGGAGAACCTTAGTTGCCAATCTTCACTCCCCTGTCAGACACATTTGACCCCTAGATCAACACCTGAGTCAGAGGAAAACCCGAAGTCCTTGGCCACACTGCTCCCACTCTGAATGAATCTTAATTACAGCAAGGCGGAGACATTGACATTTTTCTTGGAGTCTGAGGAATTACGTCTATTCTTGTTCAGTCTGCGTCCTGTGTGTAAACATTGTGATTGTAGGTTACAGTGCGTAAACGTGGAAAATGCCTATGGAATTGTTCCATATTTTGTGCCTCTCACTCTCTCCCTCTTTTTCTCTTTTTGCTTTTTCTCCCTTTAAGCACTTTTCCATAGTCCATGTCCATCTCTGGACCATTTTTTTTTTTTTTTAACCAGCCGTGGAGGAGGAGGAGGAGCCAGGGGGTGGGGTGTGGGTGTAAGGGGCGTGTTCTGGTATATAATACTTGTCCCTGAGAAGTTTTAGCCTGTCGCCTGGTCGTTGGGACAGCCTCTCACACATCATCTGTATAGCCGCACCAACTGGGAAACTAACTCACCTGCAATCCCTCCTAACCAAATAACCCCCAGCGTTTTGACTACTGCCATCTGACATGGAGACCCAGCAAAGACACGGACACCACACACTTTGCCACACCTGCCGGAGAACGGAGAGCAGCAGAATGAAGGTAACCAGAGGGAACAAATAGTTTTATGCTCTCCGGTTGTGCTGTGCGGGTATTGAAAGACCTCTGGCGGGGGTTATAATGATGTTTTCTCGGCTTTGTAATTGAGGAAAAACGCTTCGGGCTGAGCAGATGCATTGATCGCATCATTTTTGTTTTTTGTTTTTTGTTGTTTTTTTGTGCAATATGACCAAACCGGGACATCTTTTAATTTGCATGCAACAGAGAAAGTTCAGGATGCACACATGACACGGAGAGCGGCTGAAGCATTGAAGCATTCGTGCAACAGGTTACCTGATAGGATAGGAGAACAAGAGTTGAGGGGTATTTCTTATTCTTCTCTCGTCTGGATGGTGCGCCGTTCTCTGGACTCGGAGCAAACAGCTGGTCTTACTGTCGGCAGATAGGGGGCGGTAGGTCTGAGGGTCAGTGAGCTCATCACAGGGTGAGCAAGGGGAAAATATATGCTGAGTCTAGCTTTTCAGATAGTTAACTATCGAGCAGCCGGTCTTGCAACTTCTGGAGAGTTGTGTAAGAGCGTGAAGGCAAAGAGATACTGTATCTCCCGTTTTTTCCTCCAGAATAAGCACTTCTCTCAGGTGCGAACCAGTGACAGCGGCTGATAACAGGGGGAGGGGGTGGAGGTGCTGGTGGTTCGGGGGGTGGAGGCGTAAGGCTTTTTCTGAGTTAGTAGGTCAATACATCAATACACAGAAACAGCACTTAAACGCTGGAAGTCGTATATCTTGTACAAGCGAACGGGAATGCGTAAAGAGACCTCTTATATCACTTTGAAAGGCAACATCTGGCTGTCATCTGGGATTTTTTTTTTTTTTTTTTTTTTTTGATGTTATAACTAATGAAATGTGTGTTTGCATTTGTTGACAAGATGCTTGATTCGGGAAATATGTGTGTGTGTGTGTTTGTCTGCAGGTCAAGAGGATGACTTCGTCCAGTCGTGCGCTGCTGTTTGCACTGGCCCTGGCGCTCTACGTTGTGGAAATAGCCTCTGCAGAGACGCTGTGTGGGGGAGAGCTGGTGGATGCGCTGCAGTTTGTCTGTGAAGACAGAGGCTTCTATTTCAGTAGGTTTCGAACCATTACAAGTTTTCACAATGGGCTGTTTCGCGTTTTATGTCCCCTCTGTTGAGTCTCTGTGTTATTCATTCGCACACATCTGTTTGGATAGCTGAGACTATCGCTCTGTCTGTGGCTGTGCGGTATGCGTGTTTGGTATTTTTCTTACCAAACACACACACACACAGGCTGACTGAGAGACAGAAAGAGAGAGAGAGAGAGAGAAAGGAGGGGGGGGTGGGGGGGGGGTTATAGCCAGCTGTGTGTCTCAAGACCTGGTGCAGGCTGCTCTGCTGAGTGTGCGCATTCTGCCTACAGCCCATAAGTTACCTCTCATTGCATATGAAAGGGCCGGCGAGCTGTGAAGGCACACACGACTCAGCGCGACACAATGGGCCGCTTGTTTACCAGTAAAGTAATAGCACCCCAAGAGGCATACCAGTCACCTCAGCACCAGTGTTCCCAGGCCAGGCGGCCACACTGATGAGTCCGAGGGAAAGGGGTGGGGAGGGAGAGGGGAGGGAGTGGGGTGTTTTTGATGTCAGGTTAAGAGGATCATTACCACCAATTCTGATCATTGCCTCCATTGTCGTGATGATGAATAGCTGTAAAGCATTATGCGACTGCATTGTGGTGGCTGTTAATTCTCAAATGGATAAGCTTCTGTTTGCACGGTCTCAGATATCAAGTCTCTGCAGCAGAAACCTATATTAGCTACGTCCCACCCACTGCTTTACACTTTTGACAGTTTCTTTGTGTGCTGCTTGCCACTGAAGCTTCTTTCCAATCAGAAAGATCATTATCCAAATTAGGCCAACATAGATGTGCTCCCTCCTTCTCACCTTCTCCTCCCTCCTGGATCACGCTCTCTTTCTCTCACATGTTTCATCTTCCTGCAATCAAATCATGCCTCCCCTCTCATGAGATTTCTCTGTTGAGCGCAGGACTTCAAACAAAGCCTGTATTGGTCGCAGATAGTGTCCCCCCTCCCCCCGTGCAACATGGCAAACCTCCACTCCTTCACCTTGTTCTTCTATACCTTTCTCTCTTAATGTCTTAACTCTCTCCCTTTTGTGTTTTGCTTTCTTTCCCTCTGTTTTGACCCTCACACACCCTCTCTCTCTCTCTCTCTGCACTGATCCCCTTTCTTCTGTTTTCTCTACCTCTCTGCCCCTCCTCTCCATCCCCATCCTCTTTATCTCTGCTGACATGACAAAGGACAAGGTCACAGAAGAGTTTCCATTTTATGTATTTGCTCACTCAAAGGTCTGCCTGAGAGCTTAGCTATCTGTCTCCATCACTCTCTTTTGGTGTCTACAGCACAGGGTGTTTACTTGTGTATTCACTCATTAAAAGACTTCCAGATAACCCTAATCAGATTATCCTCTACAAACAAAAAGATTTGTTGCGGTTGGTCATAGATTTCCTTTTATCCTCTTTGCTCAGTGGACTGCTATGATTGCTGAAGTAATCCTGCAAAAACAACCTAGATTAATTACTGATGCCAGTGTTGTGTTCTCAGACCTTAACCTCAACGTCCTCACGGCCTTTCTTCATCGCTTGTTGTGTTTTTCCTCAGGTAGGCCAACTGGCAGGGGAAACAACAGACGGACCCAGAACCGTGGGATCGTAGAGGAGTGTTGTTTCCGTAGCTGTGACCTCAACTTGCTGGAGCAGTACTGTGCCAAACCCGCCAAATCCGAAAGGGACGTGTCGGCCACCTCTCTACAGGTCATACCCGTGATGCCCGCACTAAAACAGGTACGTCTCACCAGCAACAACAACAACACACCAGTATGGGAAATGGTGCTAATGCTCTATCTGTCCTCCCATCTCCTGTGCCTCCATTCACCTATGAGCCTTACCCCTATGTCCCTGACACTGAATACAGAAACCCACGCAAAGACAGGTTTATCTTGTGAAATGGTCATTGGTAAGCAGTTACCTTCCATGCAAAGTGCTGACCGTCGTGGAACATATCAAGACAGTCACAGCACATAATATACTCACAGACTGAGACTGTGTGCGTGCGTGTGTGTGTGAGAGAGAGAGAAAGTCTGTGAGATGGTGGAGACTGCTGGTCCGTAACAAAACAGCGTGTTCTGAGTGTGTGATTATTAGTCACGGAACAGCAAGCTCTCCGAAACTGGCATGCATTTTGATCCATGTGGTCAAAAACACCTGACCTGGCCAGTAGAGCTTCTCTGAAATATGTCACAAACATGCAGGGAACCGTCAAAGCGTTTCAGGTCTTTTCACTGCGGTCACAAGACTGAGCTGTGGCTGCTTTCCAGACCTCTTAAAATCCCTTCAACCTTCCTTTAGACAAGACTGGAAACATGTTAATAATGTTTCTGGTTTGACTTGTTAGAGAATCAGTGTCAGTGGCATGAGATTTGCAAGTGATGTAAACAAAAGAATTGAATACATAGTGCAAATGTGTGGAGAAAAATAATGTACCTTTTGTCTGAAATACAAAATAAGAAAGGCTGCAAGGGAATTAGTTGGGACATGTCCCTAGTTTGTCTGGGCAGGGAGAGTTGATGGGTACAGCCTGCTCTGGCTGGGCCAGCTGTTCTGTTCTTAGGCTATTGAGCAGGCCTGGAGTGAAAGAAGGGGGGTAAGCACTCCTCAAGTGGCAGGACCAAAACAAGCCATTCAGATGGAGCACTGGCTACTCACACATAAATTCTAGCCTCGCTGTTACCACTCTCACTTTGTCTCAATCTCGCTAACGCTGTTTGGAATAGTTTGCTGTGTAAGCATGGAGGTTTTGAAATAACAATGTCTTTATGCGTTGTTTTATTCGTTCTGTGGAGGTTAGTCAGTTCAGCAGGTCGTTGGGTGAACGACGACGTGCCCCTCATATGTATATGAGGCGAGTGACCGCCCTTCCCTTTGACAGTATGTTAAAGAGGCTGAACTGAGTATTTGTTGACAGCTTCTCTCAGTCAAGGAAACCAAAACAAGGGCAAGTTGGAGGCAAGGCGAGTCTGTTATGACGCTCTTTGCTATAAGAATTACATTTGATTTCCATTTGACTGGCCCAACAATGACTGAATGTTTTCACAAAATAAACAAGGCTTTCCTCCATTGTAATAAGCACTTGCACAGAGGCTTATCACTTCTAATGAACTGACTCTTTTCCTTTTTTCCTCTATTTTTCGCCTGCACGCCACAATAGGAAGTCCCAAGGAAGCAGCATGTGACTGTGAAGTATTCCAAATACGAGGTGTGGCAGAGGAAGGCGGCCCAGCGGCTCCGGAGGGGTGTCCCCGCCATCCTGAGGGCCAAAAAGTATCGGAGGCAGGCGGAGAAGATCAAAGCCCAGGAGCAGGCAATCTTCCACAGGCCCCTGATCAGCCTGCCCAGCAAACTGCCTCCCGTCTTGCTCGCCACGGACAACTATGTCAACCACAAATGAGCCCGCTGCCAGCCCTTTGCACAGACAAGAGTTTGGAGGGAGAAAAAAAGACTAGGGGATTATAGCTTTGTCTCTGACGTCATTTCTGTGGCAGTCCTCTTTGACCTCCCCTGCCCTGTCCGAGCCCACCAATCCCTCCCCCTGCTCTCATCCACTACTTCTTGACCCCCTGGCCCTTTTCTAATGCCCCCCCTACCCCACCCCCCTCAACCTCACCCACCCAGCCCTTTATCCGGCACACAAACATGCCTTCACATTCTTCCTGTCTGAGCTCTTTCGCTCCCTCTCTCATTCAGTCACTGACACAAAAGGCACAAACACAAACGATGAACAAAAAGTTAACAATTCGGCTGAATGCAATTCAGGTGGATCCTTAAGCAAAAGAGAAACGGGAAAGGAGAAAAGAAGATGAAAGAGATCTGTGGTTTGCAAGTGTCAAGAGGACACCCAGCGGAATGTTTTTTTTGTCCTTGTGGAAGACAACTGAAAGTGAAGAGCAGCTTGCATGAAAGAATCCATTCCACATCATTTTTCCTGAGGCAAAAAGAAAATCTCTGTTAGTTCTTTTTCTTATTAGTTTGCACCTCTACCTATAAAGGGACTTCCACACTGTAAGGAATTATTTTGTAAAATTAGATTCCTGTTCCAGCACCTTTTGATCACAAACAAAAAGCAGAAAAGAGTCTGCAAAATTGCACATTGCCACGGATTACGTCAAAGTAAAGAAAAAAATGGCACTATTTTTTTATGAACAATGAACGTGTAGCTTAAAAAAATGTCATGGTGCTAGCTTTGGGAATTGACTCAAAGAAGAGGTTGAAAAGCACGTTTTTTTTCTTTGAATGAATATTAAAACTTTCCGTTTTAAGGAAAGTGTGACTTTAAAAAAAAGGAAAATAAAGGGGGAGCTCCTGGCAGTGGCAATGTCAAGGGGGAAGTGTCACTGAGAAAAGATATGGGCTGTGTTGGCATCTAGGCTCACAGCGAGTGCTAGCGGCTGCTCATCACTAGCTTGCCGGCGTAAGCGGCAAGGGGGACCTGAGACCCAGTCCCTGTTCCTCCTGTCCCTCTGAGGCTGCCAGACACAGGGAGCAGTGT